TTTGGGAGGCCGAGGCAAGTGGATTGCCTGAGCCCGCAGGTTTGAGACCTGCCCGAGCGATTTGGCGAGACCTCGTCTCTACAATAAATCAAAAAAATGAGCCGGGAATGGTAATGCATGCCCATAGTACTAGCTACTTGGAAGGCTGAGGTGGAGGGATCGCTGGAGCCCAGCAGGTCGACACTGGTGTGGTCGTGAGTGTGCCATTGCACCCCAGCCTGGGCGACAGAGCGAGACTTCAACTCAAAAAGCAAAAGTTGTTTATGTGTATGGAGATATTAAATATAAAAGTTCTTAATGATTTTTACTCTTCGTAGATAATTTGCTTTTAATCATTTTGTTTATAATGATTTTTTGTATGCTGTGCTATTATATTGCTTGACAGAAATAGGATAATACCATATATATACTCTCTTATAAGTTGTTATTTTATGAAAGAAACGTTAATGTATCTTGGATGGCATTCCATATCAAGATGTATTTCTAGTTTTTAAAAATTTTTCGGAATGTATTTCCATTATTTGTTTTTGCAGTTTTGTAATAGTCTGTAATTCATTTAACTAATTCCTTACTGCTAAATATTTCATGTGTCTGTAGTTGTTGATTTTCACCAGTGCTGCAGTGAGCATCCTTGTGTGTGTACCTTTGCACACGTGAGCAAGGGCTTCTGTTCCAGAAACTCTGATTGTTTTTTCCTGCAGATGTTATGGAAGCAAGTTCACAATTACCCAATGTTCAACCTCCTCATGGAAATCGACTCCTACATGTTTGCATGTGTGAATCAAACGGCAGTGTATGAGGAACTCGAAGACGAGACACGGAGGCTGTGTGACGTCAGACCTTTCCTTCCGGTTCTCAAGTTAGTGACGAGAAGTTGTGACCCGGGGGAGAAATTAGACTCAAAAATCGGCGTCCTTATAGGAAAAGGTAATTTAAGAAGTTTTGAATATGGCTGCTGTTGCAGGCATAAACACACAGGACATATATTCTAAGACGTGCTTTTCAAAGTGAGGTCTGTGGACCAATGTTGGTTCGTAAATTGCTAGCGGTTTGTATACAAGGTTAAGTACGGGAAGTGAGAATAAATGTCAAGAAACTGCTCTAGCAACGTGATATTGCCATGGCCTCTAAGGGCTTCTGTTTTGTGTGTCTTTGTTTTTTCTAATGATTTATTTTTATTTTACAATAGTATTGGCCTTTGATGGATCAGAAAGAGAAAGTTGTTTCTTTACCTCGGGTGGTTTGAGACGCGCTTTCCTGAGACGTACTGTTCGTTTCTCTTGAACTGCCCCCATAGTATAAATGTGTGTTACACACAGCCAGGTCTTTAAGTTCATTGATGCTTCCATACATAATTTGCTGTTGACAAATTTTGCTCCCTAGCTGAAATCATCTTTACAGAAATTATTTTGTAGAGTCAAGGTAAATAGTGTCCATGCTATTCCTTGCAGATTAATTCTGTGGAAAACTGTAACAAAATCAAGAACTCGGAGGAGTCGGAGGAGTTGCTTGCCATAGAAGTCTCAGGGGGCTCAGGAGATAATGATACACAATATCTTGCTTTAGAGAAGGCGCTCATTTGAATTAGGAACTCCAGGGGTTTTGAGGAGGGGACTTTGGAGGGTAAACGTAAAACCAGGGCCCCCCGGGAGGCTTTTGGAGCTGGACTGGCTAGTGGTATTGATCAGATTGCCATTGTAGAACAGGGCTGCCATGGCAGGCCCTTTAAGATGCTGTTCTTTGATCTTGACCTAAGCAATTCAGGCTAGCTGATGACTCCCTCTCCATGCATTAGAAGAGAACTTGTTGGTTTCCTGAAAGACATGCTGATATTTATAAATGTTTGATTACTTCAGAGGATGTCTGATTTAGTTTTGGCAATAATATTTTTCTCATGAAACAAATTTATTATTAGATATCATACAAAATTTTCTTCTTATATTTTTGTGGCCTTGTTAGAAAGCATCTTTCTGATTTCTAGAACTATAAAGATTTTTATAGAATGTAAATTTTTATCTATCAGAAAAAAATTTGTTTTCCTGTCCATAAAAAATTAATGAATATATGGAAGAGTAGAAGTAATTAAAAAAAATCTGCTGAGCTCGGTGGCTCACACCTATAATCCCAGCACTTTGGGAGGCAGAGACTAGAGGATTGCCTGAGTTTACAGGTTCGGGACTAACCTGGGCAACATGGCGAGACCTTGTCTCTACAATACATCAAAAAATTAGCCAGGCAAGGTGGCACATGCCTGTAGTTCCAGCTACTTGGAAGGATCTGCTGAGGCAGAAGGATCGCCCAGGCAGGTTGAGGCTGTGGTGGCCGTGAGCATCACTGCACTCCAGCCTGAGTGACACAGTGAGACTCTGACTCAAAAAAACAAACAAAAAAAAGGAATAAAAAAATCATTTTATCTCATAATCTGGAACAAGTATATTCACTAATAGTATTTTGATATATGTCTTTCAGATACATTGTATGTAATTCAGGAGCTTTTGTTTGTTTTTGATTGTGTAGATGAAAAGACCTAACTCTGGAGCTTTTGTTTGTTTTTGATTGTGTAGATGAAAAGACCTAACTCTTGTGTATTTTTTCAGTTGTATTTTTTTTATTATAAAGATATGGGGTACCCATTATAAAATGGGCAAAAGATATGAACTGACACTTCACAAAGGAAGACATCCGAGCAGCCAACAGACACATGAAGAAATGTTCAGCCTCACTAATCATCAGGGATGCAGATCAAAACCACACTGAGATACCACCTAACTCCAGCCAGAATGGCAATTATCAACAACTCAAAAAACAACAGCTGCTGGAGAGGGTGTGGCAAAAAGGGAGCACTTCTACAATGTTGGTGGGAGTGTAAACTAGTGCAACCTCTGTGGAAAGCAGTGTGGCGATTCCTAAAAGCTCTAAATACCAACCTCCCATATAACCCCACAATCCCCCTACTGGATATATATCCTGAAGAACTCAAATCACTCTATAAAAAAGATACCTGCACACGTATGTTTATCGCAGCATTGTTCACAATAGCAAGAACCTGGAAGCAACCATGCTGCCCATCAAAAGAGGACTGGATTAAAAAAATGTGGTACATATACACGATGGAATACTACGTAGCCATAAAAAAGAACAAAATCATGAATTTCGCAGCAACCTGGATGGAACTAGAGTCTATAATACTGAGTGACCTCTCACAAAAACAAAAATCCGAGTATCACATGTTCTCACTCATATAATGAACCTTGAACATCCAATGTAATACTATAAGAAAATGACTGACAGTAGTAGGAAACTACGGGAGGGGAGGGAGATGGGTTTAACGGTAGCAAATATCTGTCTGGGGATGGGGAAGCACCTCTTATCAATAGGGTGCCTGAATGAAACGTATTTGTATACCTAACATCATAATATCATAATAAAAAGTATTGATTATAAAAAAAAAAAGGATATGGGGTACAATTCAGGGTTAGGTATATAAACGTTGATCATGCAGGCACCCTTGTTGATGAGGTGTGCCCCTCCCTCCCCTGGCAGTTTCCCTCAACTGCCAATCCCACCCCCCTCCCCTGGCAGTTTCCCACTATTGCCAATCCCTTCCTTACAGTGTGATAATTGTTCAAGGTCCGCTTATGAGTGAGAACATATGGTGCTCTGTTCTTTGTTTCTGCGATCGATTACTGAGTATGGTTGACGCCAAATCCATCCAAGTTGCTGCGGAGTCCATATATGTGTTCTTATTTTGGGCTCCATAATATTCCATTGTGTCTATGGACCACATTTTCTTTATCCAGTCCAGGAGCGACGGGCAGCATGGTTGGTTCCATGTTTTTGCAAAAACATGGAATGCTTTACGAATTTGCGTGTCATCCTTGTGCAGGGTTCTCTGAATCGTTCCAGTTTCAATGTGTGTGCTGCCAAAGCGAGCACTCTTGTGTATTTTAATGCTGATGGAAGCAAACCAGAAGCACGTTGCTTGTTAGAGAGGCTCAAATGTTTGGCAATGCACAGAGACCACAGAGGGAGCCGGACTGCTTCAGGGTGCTGGCGTCTCTGATATCGACTGCCCACTTCTCAAAACTTGGGTGGCTGCTCTTTCTCAGCCCTGAACTCCAAAACGTGGATCCCTTAGCCACCGGCACCTCCACCCATGCCTGCCAGAGTCAACAAGCAAAAACAGGAGGTCCATGTGTTACGTAGGCTATGGTGTGCTCATGCTAGAAAAGTCTCCATTGTTCATCTAGCAGTCAGCTTGAATCGGGCATCATACTTTTAAAATTTGTCAGCCTTACCTTGACCCTCCATAGCACAGTGGGTTGATATATATAGAAGAATTGAGGCCAGGGATGGTGGCTCACGCCTGTAATCCCAGCACTTTGGGTGGTCGAGGTGGAAAGATTGCTTGAGGCCAGGAGTTCAAGACCAGCCTGGGCAAACATACTGACACCTGGTCTCTACAAAAATTAGCTGGGAATGGTGGTGTGTGCCTGTAGTCCCAGCTACCCTGGAGACCGAGGTGGGAAGATCACTGAAGCCCAGAAGTTTGACACTGGCAAGCTATGATTGGGACACTGCCCTCCAGCCTAGGTGACAGAGCGAGTCCCTGTTTCTTTAAAAAAAAAATTGGATTTCTCTTTTTATAAATAATGTGTCATATTTCATGCAGTATCATAAGGCTTATATAACATTTTTTGGAGAGATATAAGGAATGTTTTATTGCATAAATTCGACAGTTTATATGTTCTTGACTTTATAAATTATACCTTTCAGCAGACTTAGAAAAGCTGGCATTGGCTGGGCTCGATGGCTCAGTCTGTCATCCCAGCACTTCGGGAGGCTGAGGCAAGTAGATTGCCTGAGCCCGCGGGTTTGAGACCCACCTGGGCAACTTGACGAGACCTCATCTCTACAATAAATCAAAAATTAGCCGGGCATGGTAGCGCGCCCCTGTAGTTCCGGCTACTCGGAAGGCTGAGGCGGAAGGATCGCTGGAGCCCAGCAGGTCGAGGCTGTGGTGGCCGGGAGTGGCCAAGGCACTCCAGCCTGGGCGACAGAGTGAGACTCTGACTCAAAAAAAAAGAAGATAAGAAAAGCTGGCATTATGATCCTATATACAAGTTTAAATGTTAGCATTTACTAAGGAAATAGAGTATTTGCATGTTTTAGAATGAATTTTCAGTTTTAATACCTAACAAATCACTTCAGTTTTTTCAGTACTGGTTTGTCTGTGATGACTACAGCCAGGGATTGGTGAGGCCGTGCCTCTGCGAAAACAATACACACTTACTTCAGTTTAAGTTGAGAGCAAAGTTGCTACCACCTTTCTCCAGAAAAAAATGATAGAACCTTTACGGACATACCTGCCCTGACCACACCAAAAACAGCTTTTCCTGAAAGATGGTGGCTGATCATTTCATTTTCTTCCTCCTCCCTTCCTCCCTCCCTCCCTTCTTTCCATGTAGTTCTTTGTAGAAATGGGGGTCTCACTATGTTGCCCAGACGATTCTGAAACTACTGGCCTCCAGCAATCCTTCTGCTTTTGCTCATTTTGTTTTCTATGTTTATTTCAAATTATTATTTTACCAAGATGCTTTTTGGGTTCTGATTTTTTTTTAGTGATGATGAGGTCTTACTTTGTTGCCCAACACGGAGTGCAGTGGCATGACACAAACTCACTGCAACCTCAAAACTCCTAGGTCCAAGTAGTCCTCCCTCCTCAGCCTCTGGTGTGGCTGGGACTCCAGGCAGACACCACTACACCGGGATAATCTGGGGATCTTGCTTATTGCCTAGGCTGGTTTCGAATTACTGGCCTCAAGCTATCCTCCTGCCTCAGCCTCCCAAAATGATGGGATTATAGGCATGAGCCCCTGGGCCCAGCCTAGTTTCTGATTGTTTTCTTTAGTAAAGGCACATGCCATCCCTGAATTAGTTTCTCCAAATACCCAGTAAAGTAATCTCAGTTTTGCCAGCATTCTGAAAAGAATATTTGAGAGCTCCTTCATTTCCCCAGACCAGAAGAAATCTGTGGCATATCTTGAATGAGGGAAGTCTGCAGAATTTTAGCTGTAAATCTAGTATGAATACATTGCATATTCAGTAGCTTTTTAAATATAAAAATTATATTTGACTGTAAAGTTTGCAGTAGTCTTAAAGATAATTTAAGCTTTGCTGTCAGCATATTCTTAGAAGAAGACATGTAAGATATTAACTAGGTTTAAAATTAAATTAACCTGAATTCTTATTTTGGGCAAAGTTTCTATTTTTAAGAGATCTTTACAGTGGTCTCCCAATCTAGGCTGCTTCAGTTTCTTAAAATGAAGATTCTCAGATACTGGGCTCCAGTGAATCTGGGATGAATGAAAGACCTCTCTGTTTTTCAGGTGATGCTAATGGTTATATGAACAGAGTTCCTTAGTTATAATAGGTTGGAAATGTTGCCAAAACGGTAGTGATTGCAATTCAACAGAATTATGTTGAATGTCTAAACTTGAAATTACACCTCTGCTTAGAGCTTGCAATCCAGTGGAAGTAAGGCTCACTAAACACATGATTACGGTGTGATGTATGAACTGCTGTGCTAAATCAAGAAGGGCCACCTTTGGATGCTGTATGATCTTGCTTACATGAATTCCAAAAATGTTGGACTCATGGTCGAGTGGTGTGGTTGGAGCGCGTGAGGGTGGAAGGGTGGCACATCGGGAGTCTTGGCCAACAGGGAGTTCCAGTTCGACAGGAAGGATGAGTTCTGGCGTCTCCTGCATAGTGTAGTTAATGATCATGTATTGTGTTTTTCAAAGCAGCCAAAGAGAGGGTTTTAAATGTTCTTACCACAAAGAAGTGATAAGCATATGAGGTGTTGGATGTGATAATTAGCCTGATGCAAGCATTCCGCAGTGTATATATGAGTCGAAACATCACATTACACCCCATAAAGATATACGATTATTTGTTATTAAGAAAAATTTAAAACTTAGTAAAAGGTCACCTTAAATCAGTGGAGTGAGTCAGGGACATCTTTCCTAAGGAGGAACACAACTCAACTGAACCTCGGCACTGACTCGGGATTTGCCAGGTGAAGACCAGTTGTAGGAAGGAACAGCAAAAAGGAGTGGCATGTGTGGAGAGCGACACAGAAAAGAATTGAAAGAGGCTGTTTCTGGCCGGTCTGGGGGACGGGAGGACGAGGGGAGAAGACTATTATTAGTACACTGTGATTGCACCTGTGAATAACCAGTACAATCCAGCCTGGCAAGCACAGCTAGACCCAACCTTAAAAAAAATAAAATAAAGCAAGTAGGGTTGCTTGGTATATATTGTCGACTGAGGTCTGCAGCTGTGGTTGCCTGCCATTTCAAGTCAGATGGATCCAGCATGAGGACCATCTATAAAAGAAAAGGAACTTTGTTAAGTATTGCTGCAGCTATGGCAGCAGGTACAAAACCTTGCACTTTTTACAAAATAACTTTTTTATCTTGTATTGAAAATGGAGCTTATATATGGGTGCAGGGTTTCTAAAAGAAAGGCATACTTACAGACTCTAAGATATGATTTGAGAAAAAGTGAACTCATTATATGACTACCTAAAGCAGAAGGAAGATGAAGGATCTAAAGCTGGAGAATTTAATGGCAGCCAAGGATGGTTTGATAAATTTAGAAAATGACTTGACTTAAGAAATGTCAGGATAACAATAGAAGCAGCTTCTGCTGACCAAGTGGGAGCAGACAAGTTCCTAGATGCCACTAAGAAAATAATTGAGGAAAAAGGATATCTGCCTGAACAGGTTTTTGTTTTTGTTCTTTGTTTTGAGTCAGGGTCTCACTCTGTCACCCAGGCTAGAGTGCAGTGGCCCGATCACTTCTCACTGCAGCCTCAGTGACCTGGTCTCAGGCAGTCCTTCTACCTTAGCCTCTCAAGTCTCTGCAATGGAGACATGCACCACCATGCCTGGCTAATGTGTTTTTTATTTTTTTGTGGAAACAAGGTCTTGCTATGTTACCAGCCTGGTCTCAAATTCCTGTACTCAAGTAATCCTCCTGCCTCGGCCTCCCAAAGTTCTGGGATTACAGGTGTGAGTCATTGGGCTCGGCCTACTGAACAGGTTTTTAATGCCGGCTAAAGTGCCCTATCCTAGGGGTAAAAATGCTGCAAAGGACATTTATTAGTAAGGAAAAGAAGCAGGCCATTAGGCATTAAAGACTAACCCTACTGTTTTGTACAATTGCAGTCAGGTTTATCATCAGAACTGTCCTTATCTATAAAACTGCTGACCTCCCAACCTTGAAGGGAAATGATAAACACCAGTTGCCAGTGCTTTGGTTGTTGAGCAAGAATGCCTGGACAAGAACCCTTTGTCCAGATGAAGCCATGGAGACCTTACTAGGAAGGTTCTTTTGATACTGGGTGGTCCTGGCTACCCAGAACACCTCGAGTTCAACACTGAGGGTATCACAGGGGTCTACTTTCCCCCAGCACAATGTCTCTTATTCAGCCTCTAGATCGAGGTGTCATAAGTACCTTTAAGGCGTGTTACACACGGTTCTCTACAGGAAGGATTGCCAGTGCTCGGAAGAGAAGACCCAATAGAGAGGACGTCAGGAACGTCCGGAATGACTTTGAAGATGCCATTGTTGTGATAGAAAAAGCCATGGAAGCCATCAGACGCAAAGCAATAAATTCCTATTGGAGAAAGCTGTGCCCAGATGTTGTGCATGGCTTCCCAGGGTTTACGACAGAGCCTATCAAGGAAATCACGACAAAGACTGTGGGTGTGGCAAGAAAGGCAGAAGGCGAAGGTTTCAGTATGTGGACCCTGGAGAAACTCAAGAGCGAGTAGCCACCACACTGGAGAACGTGACAAAGACAGCTTGAGGGAGATGACTGCCTCCACGCCAGTGCTGGTGAGGAGGAAGACCCAGGACCGCAGTGCAGAAAACAGGGTGCCGTAAGACAGTGTGGCAGGAGGTCTCAGTGTCCGAGACTGCTGTTGATCTCTTTCTACATCAGCCCTTCTGTGGTGCAAGGACCACAGCTAAAGCAAAGGATGGAAGGAGGGTTGGTACTGTGTAGACACGGTCTTAGAGGAATGGAAAGGTAAAGCAGCCAGGTGGGAATGGCGGTTTTTCTCCGTAAAGTTGAACTGAGCACACCTGCCTCTCCTGGCGCTACCTCTGTTCCACCTCTCCTGCCTTTGCTGTTCCCAAGACAGCAGGACCAGCCCCTCCTCTTCCTCCTCCTCTGCGTAGCCAAAATGAAGACGCAGACTTTATGATGATCTGCGTCCACTTAATGAGCCACAGATCTGTTTTCTCTTCCTTATGGTTTTCATAATAACGTCTTTTCTCGGGCTTACTTCATCGTAAGATACAGCGTGTGATACATATAACTGTGTCACCCATCAGTGAGGCTTCCAACCCACTGCAGGCTATCAGAAGTTACGTTTTGGGAGAAGTCAAAAGCTATGTGCAGATTTTCGGCTGTGTGGAGGGTCAGTCTCCTAACTTGGATTGTTCAAGGGTCAGCTATACAACAAAAGGAATTTTTATGTTTATGAGATTTTTGATTAACATGTAATAGATCATAACTGAAAAATCCCGATGAACTGAAAACTCGATTTATAAAATTTAAGTGTACTAAGTTTCTTTGGGCTTGTTTTTGTTTTTCAAAACATTTGATCTTCTGGGGCAGTTTTAGGTTCACAGCAAAACAGAGAGGAAGGGACAGAGATTTCCAGTGTACGATCTGCCCCACGCCTCAGAATTATTTCCATAGTCGACCAAGTTTTAGATTAAATAATAACTTGGGTATTAGGTTTCTTCTGATTCAGTATGGAACAGCTTTTCAGATTTCTAGCCTTTCTGAGATATGTTAAATGTGATTTGCTTGGTTTATAGGTAAAAACTGTAAATCTTGTATATGTGGTTTTAAAAGTAGGTTGTGAATTTCACTGATTATCTTTATTAGACAGGTAGTCAAACCACATTCTTTGATGAGTATATATTCTTTAAAATCCACTTGTATGCTTATCTTCTGTGCATGAGATTTATTACTTTATGTGGCTCATCTTTTAACCTCTTGTGATCTTTTCCTCCTCAGCTTTGTCTGCTTGATAAAAGCCAAACATCCATGTTCTCGCATGTTTTGTATTTGCTTGTATTATTGTTATCTACTGAAAATGACACCTCTAAAAATATGTTTAGGTCTTCATGAATTTGATGCCTTGAAGGATCCTGAAGTGAATGAATTTCGAAGAAAGATGCGCCAGTTCAGTGAGGAAAAGATCCAGTCACTTGTGGGATTGTCTTGGATGGACTGGCTAAAACACACATACCCACCAGAGCATGAGCCTTCCATCCTCGAAAACTTGGAAGATAAGCTCTATGGAGGAAAGCTCATTGTTGCTGTTCATTTTGAGAACTCTCAGGTAGGATTGTATTTTTAAAGACCATTTTGTAGTAAATCTCTTTATTTTTACCTCGATGCTTAGATTTTTAACTCCTTGCTTAGAAGTGCCTCTTGCTTGCCTAGCAAACATTGTTATCAAGAACGTTTATAAATTTAAGATGAAAATGTATTTAGAATTATGTATAATGGTCTAAAGTGACATTCTTTGCACATGTGTGATTGCTTGATGCAGTGGAATGATAGTTTAGAACAGGGTTGGCAATCTGTACTGTTTATTATTTTTTTTAGTTTTTAAAACAGTGGAAAAAAAATCCAAAGAATTGTACAATAATATTTAAAAGAAGGAAAATAAAATAATATGCAGCAGAGACCTGTATGCTGTATGTTAGCCAAACCTGGTCGACTACAGAAAAAATCTTGCCAATTGCTGGTCTGGCTTGTGTTCTTTATTTATTTTTTTCTTGTGTGTTATTTGTGTGTGTGTGTGTGTGTGTGTGTGTGTGTGTGTGTAGAAGTGAAAGACCAGATCAAAATGGTCTCTTCTTTTTATGTTCTTACACTTACATTCTGTGAATGTATGAATTAAGCGGTGATATGGAATTAGGCTTTACAACAGAGTATGTAGATAATCCAGCTGATCTGGTTCTGAATGCCCCCCCAGCAACTGTATACAATGGCTCACGTGGCTCCCCTTGCATCCAATGGGGTCATTCTGTCCTGTGGGGCGTGGCCTTAGGTTAAGGTAGGAGTTCAGGGATGTTTGGTTTTGGTCTTGAATGACTGACAGCCACAGCAGTGACAACCATGACAGTCGTCCTTCTGTACTGAGCACTTTACAGTCTGCCAAGAACTGCTTTTCATGTGTTCTCTGGTGCAAGGTGCTTTTCATGTGTTCTCTGGTGCCCGCAACAGCCGTATAAAGTCTTATTGTCTCTTCCTTACTTTACAGTGAAGAAACTAGAAGGCAGAGAAGCATAGCATTTTGTGCCTGTCCTCGGAGCTGGTCATGGCAGAGCCAGGATTTCATCCGCTGTCTCTGGTTTTGCCCAGCTTCTCCTCCTTTTAGACATGTTAATAAGCATTTGTCGGGGTAGATGTGGAAAAAGACCCTGCCCTCTGGCTCTTTCTCTAGACTAGAAGCTTGTTTAGGGAAAAGCACCTTTGTCCTCTGTCCTAAGATACATTGAAGCTGAAGTTCAGTGTATTCCAAGACTTGAGTGTCGTAAAACATCAGGGCCAACTTTTTTTTTTTTGCAATCGTGTTTTGGGAATTCTGCAAGATCAAGAGATGTGGAACAGGGAGTTCATTGCTGAAAGGTGATGAGAACCCTACTGCAAACATTGGCTCGTAGCCGTTTGCCTACTGAGGCCAGCCTGAATTTCTGCTGGATGTACCAGTTTTGATGGAATTGTTGTAGCAGTGTATGGAAAGGAAGTGTTGGGACGTAGGAGAGAGACGGAAGCATTGTGGAATCTTACCAGATGCCAAACCGCCAGAGGACTGAGAGTTGAAAGGCATTTAGAGGTCACCAGTCAGACTCATCACATAGCATGATTGTGTCTGTGGTCCCTGGCACCTGTGTCTCTGTCTGAACACAGCCGGTGCTGGGAGGATACCCTCTGGGCAAGCGCACAGTTAGTTTGAGTTTAAATCACTTTAAAATTCAAACTTGCCTTCTCTGTCCTCTGCCCCTCTTGGTCTGTCTCTCAAGTCTCTTGTTTTTCAAGCTGAACTACTTCCCAAGGGATTAAACGGAAACTCCGGATGGCAGAATTTTGGATGGTAACAACCAATAAAACTATTAGTACTATTATTATTATTATTACTATTATTACTATTTTAGAGACGGAGTCTTGTTCTGTTCCCCAGGCCCCAGTGCAGTGACACAATCATAGGTTACGGCAGCCTTAACTTCCTGGGCTCAAGCAGTTCTCATGCCTCAGCCTCCCAAGTAGCTGGGACTACAGGTGTGCACAGCTACACCTGGCTAAGTTTTTATCTTTTTGTAGAGGCAGGATCTCACTTTGCTGCCCAGGCTGGTCCTAAACTCCTGACTTCAAGTGATCCTCCCACCTTGACCTCCTGAAATGCTAGGATTACAGTTGTGAGTCACTGTGCCTGGTGAAAAGTATTAAGTTATTAAATAATGTATTGAAGGCACATAGGATTTAAAGATATTTATTTAACCAAGTAAGGACTTTTTTTTTCATGTCGCAAACTATAATTTATTACCAATAGTATTTTATAAGTTACAATTTTTTTTTAAGTTGGGGGTCTTGCTGTGTCACCCAGACCGCAGTGCAGTGGCCCAATCACGGCTTACCAGAGCCTTGAGCTCCTGGCTCAGGTGATCCTTCCTTCTCAGCCTCCTGAGTAGCTGGGACTATAGGCACGCACCACCACGCCTGGCTAATCTTTTGATATTTGGAGAGATGAGGTCTTGCGATGTTGCACAGGCTGGTTCTGAACTCCTGGGCTCAAGCAGTCTGCCCTCCTTGGCCTCCCGAAGTGCTAGGATTACAGGCCTGAGCCACTATGGCCAACAAGTATTGTATACGTAAACAAACACTTTACCACCAAAAAAATAAGAATGGTACCACCTCAGAATAAAGCCAGCTGACAACCTCTCCACCATCTATCTATACCTTCTCTCTTTATCCCCCGCTTTTCTAAACTTCCCACCTAGCATTTTGGTGTCAACTTTTGATGGGTAACCCTGGTCCACACAGGAGCAGCGCGTGGAGAATCCTCAACTAAAAATGAGATGAGCGGGAGCGAGGGGTTTTATTGGGTTTAAAACAGTGATTTTCTGGGATTGGTAGGGACCCGGCTAGCCAGCATTTTCTGTGAAAAACAACAAAAATGTTAGACGATCACATAGTCCATATCAGCCAGTCTTTAGCACTTGGCTCTTGCAGAAGCAAGATACATATAATGATGGACCTATTGTTGCTCAGTTTTACAGAACAATGGCCACAGTGGTCAGATAACAGATGCGTTGTTTTAAATCCCAAGAATCCCAGTTTGAGAGGCTACTGATTAACCTTGAGCTGTACTTTCAGACCTGTCTTTTGCCTCAGCCAGCTTAAGGGATATGAAGTAATTTTGTCAATATAGGGAGAGGTACAGATAACTTGAAATAGTCTTTTGTGTGTAGAGATGGCTGGAAAAGTTTGGAAGGAAGCGGAGGGAATATTTTTTTTGGCATTTGTCTCTTCAAAGAAAAAAAAAAGTTGGCCGGCCATGGTGGTTTATGCTGGTAATCCCAGTACTTTGGGAGGCCGAGGAGGGAGGATTGCCTGAGCCCAGGGGTTTGTGACCAGCCTGGACAACTTAGTGAGACCGCGTCTCTGCAATAAATCAAGAAAAATCAGTTGGGCTTGGTGGCGCATGCCTGTGGCTCCAGCTACTTGGAAGACTGAGGCAGAAGGATCGCTTGAGCCCAGCAGGTGGAGGCTGCGGTGGCCATGAGTGTGCCACTGCACTCCAGTCTGGGTGACAGAGTGAGACTCTGACTCAAAAAAAAAAAATTAAACAGGCATGGTAGTATGTGCCTGTGGTCTTGGCTTCTCCAGAGGTTAAGGCAGGAGGATTGCTTAAGCCTGCACATTTGAGGTTATGCTGAGTTGTGATCATACCACTGACTCCAGTCTGGGTGACAGGGTGAAACTCTACCTCTAAAATAAATAATAATTTTTGAAAGGAAGTGAATAAGTGTTTCCTTGTGTGGACATTATCTGAATCACCACAGTTGTCATAATGTAGGTATAGTCCCTCATGAATCCTGTCTCTCCCTGCTACACAGAAGTATCTGTCACCACCCATATGCTCAGTGTCTTTGTGTGCCAGTGTCTAGTCGGTAGACATTTGTAAACATTGAGTAATTCAATGCAAATTGGTTGCCATGTAAAGTTAGGAGTCTTGTAAAAGATGCAGTGTTTCATGAAGTCATTGAAAGTGATGCTGAAAAACTGCTGAAATGCTGGAAAGACCAGTCACATTAAACTGTTTAGAAGCCCTGAGCTGGACATGGTGGCTCCCAGCACTTGGCAGGCCGAGGTGGGAGGAATACTTGAGCCCAGGAGTTCGAGACCAGCTTGGGCAACATAAGCAAGACCTCATCAGTATTTAAAAAAAAAAAAAAATTTTTTTTTTTTGAGTTGGAGTCTCACTTCTTCGCCCAGGCCGGAGTGCAGTGGCACACATGCTCACAGCCACCGCCGCATTGACCACCGGGCTCCGGCAATCCTTCAGCCTCAGCCTTCCGAGTAGTTGAAACTACAGACGTGCAACCACACCCGGCTATTTTTTATTTTATTGCAGAGACGAGGTCTCGCCAAGTTGCCCGGGCTGGTCTCGAACCCGCAGGCTCAGGAAATCCACTCGCCTTGGGCTCCCAAAGTTCTGGGATGACAGGCTGAGCCACCGAACCCGCCCTAAAAATTTTTTAAAAAATTAGCCAGGTATGGTGGTGCCTGCCTCTTGTCCCAGCTACTCTGGAGGCGGATGCAGGAGGATTGCTTGAGACTAGAAGGTTGAGGCTGTGGAGGGCCGTGATCATGCCACTACGACGAAGTGAAATCCTGTCTCCAAAAAAAAGGGAAGACATTAATTCAACTTCTGAGAAATTAAGAGAGACCTTTGGGGACAGTGTGGAGCCCTCAGCACTGTCAGCGTGTATCTGTGTCATCTGGTTGTCTGTGTGTCTTTCTCCTTGGTCGCGTCTCCCTCATAGCCGATAAGGGTGGCTTTTTCCATAGACTTAGGCAACGTCTTTATTTCTATTGTGGTTCCTTTGGTCTGTTTTTTTTTTTTTTTTTT